CGCTGGCTGGAGCCACGCCTACCTCCGATAGGTGCTGCGAAGCAGCAGCCCACTCCTACTGCGCACGCGGCTGCCAGCATCTCCGTGTTCCGGGATTCGTTCTGGCAAGGGTTGGGGACACAGTGTCAGTTTGGGCTCAGCAGCCCCTTCCCCCTGGATCTCAGGGCTCTCCTCTTACCTCATAGATACCCCCAAAGAGGGAGAGGAACTTGCTGAGAAGAGCGGCACACATGCTGGCAATGTGCACAAAGGGTCCCTGGGGGTAGGGGTGGGTTGTGAGGAGGGACGGGGCCTTCTGGACCTGGGCCTGACCTTCTCTTTCAATGGGAGGGACGCCTTCATTCCCCCACCTGCAATTACCTCTTTGCCAAGGGGCATCCCACTGCCCAGGGCGCACGTTAGCCCAATGACCTTAGCTACAAAGGTCTTGAGGGTGAGGTATTCTTTTAGCACCACTCCCCGGAGGATGGTTTTCATCTCAGGGATGCCAGATCCTGCGGAGGTACACATCCAGGAACGCTGCCTGACAGGCCTCATTCAGGAAGTTTGACCGCCCCCTCCTCCCAAGCCATCCTGCCCTACCGACAGCCTGCGGGGCCAGGATCTGGGTGAATCCAGCAGAGAAAGTGATGAGGACGACGGGGTAGGTAACCCAAGCCAGGTACTGGAGCAAGATGTTGGTGTTTAAGCCCCGGGACATCCACTGCTGAGCTGTGGGCACAGGACATGCTTGCTGGACTTCCAGGGCACATATCCACCCACACCTTGCCCGACACTGGGACACACTGACGGGACAAGGGCACAGAGAGACGGGAAGGCCCTAGAAGGCATCCACTGGGACAAAGCCCATCCCAGATAAGACGGCTGGAGGGCAGGCAGGAAGGCGTGGTCTATGCCCGTGGCAGGGACTATTGCCTGGAGATGGGCAGTCAGCCTGGCCAAAGTGGCCAGTAGCCAAGTTACTTAAACAACTGTGGCACGGAGGAAACAGGTTGGCTGTTCCCAGCCTTGGCCCTCACCCTGTAGACACACAGCGATGGCATAGTCCATGGCCCAACTGACCAATGCCATGAGGAGCCCCAACAGGACCAGGAAGATCCAGTCTTCACCGACCCGGGACACTAGGAACTTGTGGCAGCGTACAGAACAAACTGGAAGCAGGGAAGGGAAGATCCATAGAGAAGCTGGTACCAGAGTGCTGCTCTGCTACTCCCCGGTCTCTCCCCACCCCCCACGGGCAGCTCTAACGGTCTCTGCCTCCCCCAGGACAGAACCGCCAGGTAGGTCCCTGCCCCTATCCAGATCTCACTGCGGCATCTGGCACATCGGCTCTGTCCATATTCCAGGAGCTCTGGGGGAGCCCGGGCAGAAGGGGACCCCTTCCAGGGCTCAGGCCCTCCCAGGCGAATCCGAGCAGCTTCCTCTTTGGCAAAGGCCCCGAGTTCCTGAGTGTACCGGCCATACATCTGGAGCAAGAGACAAAATGTGGCGTTAGCATGTGTGGCTAGGTGGGGACCTGGGGAGGGTTCCTGGGTTTTGACTCCCCTTCACGCAGCTCCCACACTGTGTACCCCCCATCTTGAATCCAGTTTTCACTCAGCTCGGAGTGTGGGAACAATGTACATTGTAGACTGCGGGGGCTGTCTTGGCCAGAGCGATGGGGACAGACGAGGTACAGGGACACAACTCTGGGGGTGGCAGAATAATCAGTCCTCTTCTAGCGAGCCAGGGGTGCGGGCTCTGGGGAGGAGGAGAGGAAGGGTCCGGAGCAGGGGAAAGATGGAAAAACCTAAGGCGCAGGCTGAAAGTGGGAGGCGGGAAGGTCAGAGAACAAGGGATGGTCAAGGGCGTGTGCGCAACAATAAGAGGCTGGTGGAGCCGAGGGCAGCCGAGCTGGGCCTAGGATCCCAGCCCCAATCCTTATCACGTTCCCGCTGGGCCTCTGGCCTGTGACCAACTCATCGGCACCCTTCCCACCCACCCTAATCCCTTGTCCTCATTCTCCGCTCCCAAACCCCCATGAGCCCGTCAGCCCGGCTGAAAGCGGAAAGCCTCTTTGGGTGCGTAAGGCAAGTGTTGGGTGGTTTCAGTCCTCCTCTGGAACTGCACTTGGGACAAGTGACAGACCCTGGGGGACAGCAGAGGCTGTGGATGGCAAGGCTGTGACTGTGGACACGAGGCTGATGGGAAGGGACAGAGTTATGGCTGGACCTGCCAAGCTGGGCGTGTGTTGGGGGGTGGGGAGGAGCAGATTCTGGCTGCCACCCGCGGAGCTCCAGGACACAAAGGGCTCCTGTTGGGGTTGGGGTTTGTGGTTGTGGTTGGGGGGGTGGGGGGGAGGGATGATAAAGACACAGAGTGAGAGAGACAGAGAGGGCAGGAGAAGCAGAGGGGAGAGGAAATACATAGGAAAGAAGAGCGAGGGCCGGGAGGAGGAAGAGCCTGGAGTCTAGAAAACACAGCAGGTGGGAGGAGGTGAGGGCAAGACAAAAGGGTGGGAGGAGAAGGGGGAGAGGCCAGAGCCGGGGAAGCTTGACCCTGAGAACTCATTTCACAGACGCAGGGAGATGGAGCGGCGGCGGCGGCGGCCGGTGCAAAAGAGATACCATTTCAGAGGCTAAGTGCCTGGCTTCCATGGCCAAATGTCCCTCTCCTTGACCTGTGGATGGCAAGGCTAAGAGCCATCACCAACAAAAGAGCTTGCCTCCACGGGCCAGCGTCACGCTTACCCAAGCTACTGCCTCTCCCGGGCATGCCGTTTCAGACCGTCTCGGGTAACTGGGCACCTCCCTGACTCAGTTACAGTCCTCTCTAAAAGAGGTTCCTCCCTGCCACCCTCCCGGGCAAATTCCAGCCCAGGCTGATAAAAAGGAGCCATAAGGGCCAGTTTCTTCCTGCAGGCCTTGGGCCCCCCCACCCTGGTGACACCAGGGTGGATGGCTTCCCCACGGTGGTGGCCGTGAATCATCTCAGGGCTCAGGACCCCTGCTTCTTATGAGGTCAAGGGACACTCCATGGGCGTGGGTGCTGGTGGTGGGGTGCCTGCCTAGACCCAGCCCGAACAAAGGTTCCAATTCTCACACCCATTCCTACTTCCTGCACCAGCCCTGAAGCTTCAGGTGACCAGCCACCCAAGGCACCTCTTTCCCAAAAGTTCAACTGAGGGGTTCTTGTCAATGCTGGACTTTGAGCCTTTAAAGGCAGGGGGGTAGGTTTGGATTTGATCACTTGCCCACAACAGTCTTTATGCCCAGCTTAGTGCCATGCCATAGTAGGGGACCCGGGGGGGAGGTGTTGAATGGGGATAGGCGTGTGGACAAAGTTCAGAGGTATGGATGGTACTCAGAAAGGGTACTGGGGTGCTGTAACCTTGGGCTCGAAAAAACAAAAACGTGTATGCAGAAGGGAGTAAGGGGCAGGACACCTGGGCCAAGCACCTGGTGTCATTGTCCTCTGCAGGCCACCAGCCTCAGCCAGAAGCCAGCAAGCGGCTTTCCAACACCCCGAACCTGAACCTACAGCCTGTCGGGATCCCGAACCTCAGTTTCCACAGCTGAGGAAGGCTGAGGCCGGGCTAGGGTAGGCCGCCTGTCCTCACACTTCCTAGGGCAACCTGCAGCAGTGGGGCCATAGCGCACCCCTTAGGTTTCACTTACCAGGGTCTGCTCATACTGCAGCGCCCGAGGCTCCATCCCTTCCCCCGCCGCCGCCGCCGCGGCCGCGGCCGCCGAGGCCGCCATCTCGGGGCGCACGGTCCTCTTGCCTCCCTCGGCTTCTCGGGCTCTGGCCTTGACTCAGCTCCCGGCCCGCCGAGCCCGCGCCCTCGCCCGTCCCGTCCCCTCAGCCCCGGCGGCCGAGTGCAGAGTGCGACGGGTCCCCGGGCGCGCGCCGCAGGCACAGCCTCCCGCTAGCGTCCCCTCCTCGGCGGGCGGGCCGAGGGCGGTGCCCTGCTGGCTGCTCCGCCCTGGCCCAGCTGCAGGGGCGTCCGGGTCCGGCTGGGGTCTGCATAGGAGCCGCCTCCTGGCCTCCGGAGCGGCGGCAGGGGGCGCCTGCAACGCGATCTCGCGCCCCTCCGCCCGGGAGGCGGGAGGCTGACCCAGCCCCGAGAGGGTGCGGGGGCCGGACGGGGGCGGGTCCGCTGGCACGTGGAGGGGCCGGGCTCTTGGGCGGCAGCGGCGTTGTGCGGGAGGGGCTGAGGATGTAGTGACTCCAGGGCTGGGGCAGGGGGCTGCTGGAAAGGCTAATCCGGGCTCTCCGGGCCAGACCCGACTGGGGCAGCCTCTGCTTCGCGCTTGCAGGCGGCTCAGATGGATCTGCGAAGATCCCCGGGAGCCTTCTTCCTTCTCGCCCCCCTTTCTCCTTCTTTCCCTCTGGGTTCCCCCGGGAAGGTGCACCTGGAATTGCTAGGCCTGGAGAGAGGGGGCGGAGGTGGAGGTGGGAGGGGACGGGAAGGGGTGAGGCCCGAGGGAAGGGAGCTATTGGTGCGGGGGAGGCCGCTCCTGGGAGGCGGGTGTGGGGGAGCAGAGGTCGCTCCTCCCAGGCATCGCTTAAAGGGGGAACTTGAGTAGCTGCTGACGCCTCGAGGAAGCGGCTTACTGGGGCTCCACATTGTCTTTCAGGGTCCTTGGAGGGATAAGAACAGTGTGGCGCGGGCACAAAAAAGATGGGCAGTGTCAGGTTGGTGCCACTGGAGAGGACGGTGTCCAGAAGTCTGTGTAGGAAGAACAGTAGTGCCAGGATGAAGACTCATTCAGGAAACAGGGTGCTCAGGGGGGAGGGGACGATGCCCAGTACCGGGGCGCCAGTGAAAGGAGGTAGCACCTGGAAAGAGGGCACTAGGAGCTGTCGCCTCCCAGCGGAAGGCCAACGCTGGGTGAAGGCGCGCTGGATCAGTGTCCAGAAGAGGGTAGTATAGAGGGGTGACAGGCAGTACCAAGTTCAACTGGCAGTGTTCTAGGGGATCAGTGTGAGGTTAGTGCCAAGCAGGGCCAAGGGAAGACGGGAGTGCCGAGGAGGTGAAGCCCCAGGGGGAGGGCACAACGCGGGCTTTCCTTTCCCTGAGAGTGATGACATCATGGCAAATCCCCAAACCGGACGGACCCGGCTCGGGTGACGTCTAGCTGGTCCGAGCCAGCTCGGACCAGCAGCGTTGGGGGGACCTTGGTGGCCATCCGAGGTCCGAGGGGCTGGGCGGGCGCTCTGCGGGCGGGGTTCTCCTCCACCCGCCTGCAGCACGGACTGTGCCCCCGGCCGGCCGGCCGCAGGGAAGGGCTGGCCGGGGCCAAGGATCAAGGTTCCCGGCTGGGTTAGGCCCCCAAGCTTGCCCAAGCGCCGGGATCCGGGGTCTGGAGAGGGCGCCGGAGAGCCGGGCGCAGCGCGGTACCCGCCGGGGGTGGGGCTTTAGTCTGTCCCCGCCCAATGGGCGGAGTCACTGGCCTTTGAGACCCGCCCCCAAGGCCGGGGACTGCTCCGAGGTGGCTTTTTCCCGGCGGAAGTTAAGGAGCCCCGAGGGGGGGGGGAGTCGGCGGAAGTGGCGGCGGGAGGGCAGCCTGTGCGCATGCGCCCTGTGCCGTGGCGGCCGCTTTTGGGGTCGGTGCTCCGCCCCGTCTTTTCCCTCCTCCACGTGAGGGGGAGCGCGGATTCCCAGCGGCTGCCGCGCGCTCCGGGCGCCTCTGCAGCTCTCGTGCCCCTCGCGATGGCCGGCATCCTGTTCGAGGATATTTTTGACGTGAAAGACATTGACCCAGAAGGCAAGAAGTTTGACCGAGGTAAGGTGTGCAGGGGTGGGGGTTGAGGGCGGAGGCCGACATGCCCACCCGAGGGGCCCGCCCCACCCTCTCGGAACCTCGCTCAGGAAGCAGGTTTTGTTTCTCCATGATGAGAAACTTGAGACAGCTTTTCCCACCGTGTCTGCGGTGCCTTGCGCCTGGGTGGCCCTCAGCGTTGGTGCTGGGCCACCCCTGGGCCCCGTCCCAACTCCCTGCTCAGTACTGCGAGCTGTACCGTGCGCCTCTCACACTTAGCTGTTCTGGCAGGAGGGAGATAGGGTGCCTTACCGTGTGTTTTGATACAACGTGCAGCGAGTTGCCTGCTGCCTGCCTTCCTAACCCGTGCTTTTGTGGAATTGTTAGCTCTTTTCCAAGTCTTCTTTTTTTAAAATTCAGCTGATCGCTTGGTGTATCTTCCCAGTGATCCGGAAGTTGTTTCTTCTTGGTGTCGCTTTGCCTGGCGACAGTCCTCCCCCCACCCCCCAGAGTCTCTCTGTGTAGCTCTGGCTGTCCTGGAACTCGCTTTGTAGAACAGGCTGGCCTCGGACTCCCAGAGATCCGACTGCCTCTGCCTCCCAAGGGCTGGGATTAGGGGCGTGAGCCACTGCGGCCCAGCATTTTATTTATTTATTTATTCATTCATTCATTCAAGACAGGTGTCAGTTCTCAACACACCCTGCAGATTCCCTACCAGGAAGAGGGGATCTCTGGACAAGTCACTATGTTGTTCAGAGTGAAGTTTAGTCTAAGTCATCCAGGCATGCTTAGAGCCTAGAGACAGGTTGCTGCCGGGGAAGTTTTGCCGCTTTCTTGGGATCCTGTCACCTGCTGAGGTTTTTAACTTTCTTCCTTCTCATGACTTTGGTTCGGATTGCAGTTGTGCTTTGGGGGTGCAGAGCGAGGCTTCGGGGTGGGGACCTGTTGGGGGGTTTGTTCCCTTGCATTCCACCCCCAAGGTGGCCTCTGCAATCGTGTCTGTCACTCTTTCCCAGTATCTCGGCTGCACTGTGAGAGTGAATCCTTCAAGATGGACCTCATCCTAGACGTAAACATTCAGATTTACCCCGTAGACTTAGGTAAGTGTGGAGCACAGGCAATAAAAGAGGCTTTAGGTCTTTGGCTCCTGCTTCTTCACTCTGACATTGACGCTCTTTTCAGGTGACAAGTTCCGGTTGGTCATAGCTAGCACTTTGTATGAAGATGGTACCTTGGATGATGGCGAATACAATCCCACAGATGACAGGCCTTCCAGGTGAGGGAGCAGGAAAGGAGAGACCGAAGAGATAAGTAGTATTCAGAAAGGCCTCTGTTTAGTTCTAGGACAAGACATGGTTGCCCTTAGAATTCAGACAACAGGAACTGGGGGCGGGGCTTTGTGTCTATAATTCCAGGACACGGGAGATGAGGCAGGAGGATCAGGGATTCAAGAACCTCTTTGGCTTCATATAAGTCTAACGCCAATCTGAGTGTTAGACTCCAAGAGACCCTGTCTCTGAAAAATTGGAAAAAGGATTTCGAGCAGTCAGCTTTATTACTTACAGAGAGCAGTGCGTGTCAGCTTGTGAGCTGCAGTTTTTATTTAGTGGAGACAGGGTCTCACTTTGTAGTCCTGGTTGGCTTGGACTATGTAGACCACGCTGGCCTGGAGCTCACAGAGGACATCTACCTCCTCTGCCTCCTCAGTGTTGGAATTAAAGGTATATGCCACCCCACCCTGCAGTTGTAGCCTTTTTAAGGCTGAGAAAATGATTCCATAGTAACCTAGATTTTGGGAGGGAGCGTGGTGTGACAGAAGGACCATGGAGTAGCCGGCATGGTGGTGCACACACTTAATCCCAGCACTCGGGAGGCAGAGGCAGGAGGAGCTCTGTGAGTTTGAGGCCAGCCTGGGCTACAGAGCCAGTTAGGACAGCCGTACTGAATTTTCACTTCCCAGCTCCGCTACTTTCAGCCTCCATTTCCTCATCAATAAAATACAGATGGTCTTGCTCACTGAATTGATGTGAGAACCAAATAAGGCCTCGCTTCTTGTTATCATTTTCCATTTTAATTATTATCATTTTTAAAAAATTTTATCTTTTTGGTTTTTTGAGACAGGGTTTCTTTGTGTAGCCCTGGCTGTCTTGGAACTTGCTCTGTAGACCAGGCTGGCCCCAAACTCACAGAGATCCGCCTGCCTCTACCTCCTGAGTGCTGGGCTTAAAGGTGTGCGCCACCACTGCCTGGCTTCGGTTTCTGTTTTTAAAGGTCTCTTATGCTATTGGTCACTGTGAAGAATAACTTTGCCTATTGTTTGTAGGGCTGACCAGTTTGAGTACGTAATGTATGGGAAAGTGTACAGAATCGAGGGGGACGAGACCTCAACGGAAGCAGCCACGCGCCTGTAAGTAACATTGTTGGGGAAATCTTTCCCCCTCCCTGTTCTGAAACTGGGCCATGCTTCTACTTCTGCCTTTGGTCCACTATTTTTTCTGTACTCCAAACCCAGGCGGAAGAATTTGTCTTGGGAACTGTTTCCAGTCTATTGGTTACCTACATCACCTGTTACCAGGCTTTCAAGGCCCTGTAGTCCACAGGAGACTTTGGTAGCCTTGCTTTGTGAGGGACAGCAGAGAACATCTTCCTGGCAGACCATAGGCAGCGTTTCATGACTAGGCCGTTTTTGGTTTTGTGTTCACTTGTGTATGTGTTGTTACTCTGGAATCCAACCCTTGGTTCTTTGGTTTCCCTGCCTAGTTTTGTTTGTTTGTTTGTTTTTGTTTTGTTTTTCTTTTCTTTAAACTTCTGTTAAAACAATATGGTTGTTAGAAACTTGAAGCAGAGGAGTAATGTGAAAAAGAACAGAGGTCCCCCAGGAGGACGTTTTTTACGTTACAGTTTGAAGAGCTGGTGCGGTGTCGCACCCCTTTAGTCCCAGGACTTGGGAGGCAGAGGCAGGTGGATCTCTGTGAGTTCCAGGACAGCCAGGGCTGCATAGTGAGGTCTTGTTTTGAGAAAACAAAAACAAGCAAGAGTTTGAGTGGTCCAGCTTTCTTTCTTTGTTTCCTTTCCCTTTGAGTTCCTTTACAACTTTTCTTTTTTTTGTTTGACTTGTTTCCCCTTGTTAGTTGAAAACTCTCCCTCTTTTTTTTTTTTTTGAGATAGCCTCTCTCTATGTAGCCTGGGCTGTCCTGAAACTCAGTATGTAGACCCAGGCTGGTGTTGAACTCAGGGGATCTACTTGACTGCCTCTTGCTGCTGGGATTAAAGGCATGTGCTACCCTCCTGATTCCTTAGCATTTTCAAAAAAGTATTTGTTTATTTGTGTGTGTGTGCACGTGTGCACGCATGCACCTGGGTGTTTGTATGTGTACCATGTGCAGGCATGAGACCACCAAGGTAAAAAAGGGGCATTGGACACCTTGGAAATGGAGTTATGGGTGGTTGTGAGATGCCATGTGGGTGCTGGGGTGGGGGTGAGGGGCGGTGAATCCTGGTCTTCTGCGTTCTTCCGGAACTGTCAGTGATCTTAAAGGCTGAGCCATCTCGCCAGCCCCTACCTCAGCAGTCCTGTCGCTGTGTAACATCGCAGTGAATGGTGAGGCCTTCATTTGTGTGACTAGTCTCCTGTTTGGGGCACAGCAGCATTTGCTCCTCCACCAGAGTAAGCAACACTGCTTTGTGCATGTCTGCATCCAGTTTTGTCCTAATCTTTGGTTCCTAAAGACAGAATACCAGGGGAGTGCCTTTAAAAAAATGATGGAGAGCTGCTGGGAAGCATTGGCCTCAGAGCTCAGACTCAGGACCGGGCCTTCTGTTTCAGCTCTGCATATGTGTCCTATGGGGGTCTGCTCATGCGGCTTCAGGGTGACGCCAACAACCTGCACGGATTTGAGGTGGACTCCAGAGTCTATCTGCTGATGAAGAAACTGGCGTTCTGAACCTCGTGGGAAATCAGCCTTGCTGCTCAGTCACTCAAGGCCTGAACCTTGTTCAAACCTGAGTAGAAGCTCGTGGTGTTCGCCTGTGAAGGGGACTGGGCTGTGTGTCCACTCCACTGTGGGTACATCTTCAGTTTGTCCAAATTCAATGGAAAACTGACTTGTCTGTAAAAGACCAAGTGGGAGAGCTTAGCATGAATCTGAAGTTGTGTGTGATTTTTTTTATTTTTAAATTAAAGTTTACTTTTTCAGACTCTTCTCCTGAATTGGGGGTGGAGGCATGCAGGGTTCTGCTTTTGCTGTGTAGCCCAGGCTGGCCTTGGACTCAATCCTCCTGCTGCTGCCTTCTGAGTTCCTGGGATTTCATCACACCTGGTGTATGCAATGCTGAGTCTCAAAACCAAGGCCTTCTGTGTGTTACAAGGGAATCTGTGTCTCTGTGTGTGTGTGTGCGCGTGTGTACACTTCCACCATCTGGGTCCTGGGGATTGATGTCAGGGCGAGCTCCTTTACCCACTGAGCCTTTTATTTGCTGGCCCCAGCTGGTCTCTTGGTGTCTTGGGTCTGTCACAGGAGCTGGTCGCCCTGCTGGGATGCCTGGGGTGTTTCCTTCCCCATCTTTTTTTAGTCTTTACAAGAGGTGTCAGAAATAGTGTTTAGGGAAATGGGTTGAAAATGAGTGGCCTCAGCAGGGAATAGCAAAGTTGTTTTTTTTTTTTTTTTAAACCTTCCACAGTAGGGTGTGTGTGATACATTGGGGGTTGGGATGAATCTTAATAGAATCGGTTAGTCATCCCGTGGAGTCAGGTTTTTGAGGGGTTGAGGAAAGGTGGTTATAGTAGGAGACCCTCACCAGAAGTCGTGATAGAATGTCCGAGTAGACAGTAGGCCGCCCCAGCAAAGAAAAGGGCACGAGTAGAAAAGTGCTTTTTAAAGAATTTTCAGACGTGTATCTGGGTGCGTGTGAGGGAGAGCATAACTTTGAGGAGTCCCCTTTCATGACCGCGTGGGTCCCAGAGATTAGAATCGCGTGGTCAGGCTTGGTGATCACCTTCAGCTGCTCAGCCTCTTACCAGCACACGCTGTGTGTGTGTGTGTGTGTGTGTGTGTGTGTGTGTGTGTGTGTGTGTGTGTGTGTTGTCGGGCAAGGAAGGGTGGAGTCAGCTGCACAGAATGATCTGGTTTAGACTTTGCCTTGGTTTTGTTGGTGCAGGGATCAACCCAAAGCTTACTGGGCAAGTAAGCGTCACATCGCTGAGCTGGATCTTCAGGCAAGGTCTAAAAAAGTATTTTTTAAAAGGAGGAGTCTGAAACCCCAGCTGGTCTGAAACTTGAATAGTCAAGGATGCCCTTGAACTTGTGATCCTCCTGCCTCAACCCACAAAGTGCTGTGCTTACAGGCATGCACCGCCACACCTAGTTTCAGGGTTAGTCTTAAGAGGGCAGATTTCAGATCGGTTTACATTGTAGAAACCAGTTTCCCAGATTAGCCCGTATCGGATGCCTGGAACGTTAGCTGTGTTGCAGGTCAGCAGCCTGACTTGTCTTCTGACGCCGAGAACCCACTTTTTTTGGCCTCTGCCTTATCTTGTTCTGGGTGCCAACTATTCTGTGCTGTAAAGTGTTTGGCTTGATGATGATGGTGTTTTGTTTTGTTTTGTTTTTATTGTGCTGATTAAACCCAGGACTTTGTGTGTGCTAGGCAAGAGCCCTACCATTGAGCTATGTCCCTGCCATGAAAATTAATTTTTGAGACAATCTTGGCTGGGCAGTGGTGGCGCACGCCTTTAATTGCAGCACTCGGGGAAGCAGAGGCAGGTGAATCTCTGAGTTCTAGGCCAGCCTGGTCTACAAAATGAGTTCCAGGATAGGCTCCAAAAGCTACACAGAGAAACCCTGTCTCAAACTCCACCCCGCTCCCCAGAAAAAGGAAAAGAGAGAGTCGTAATTTAGGCTGGACTGAAGGTCCTTATATAGCTGAAGGTGGCCTTGAACTCCTGATCCTCCTAGGATCTCTACCTTCCAAGTGTTGAGTTTACAGGCCACAGTGTCCAACTTTTTTTCCCTTTTAACTTTATTATTTTCGTGTGTGTGTGTGTGTGTGTGTGTGTGTGTGTGTGTGTGTGTGTGCAAGTGTGGGCGTCAGCATGTGATGGCGTGCATAATGGAGTTGGAAAACAGCTTTTGGGAATTGGTTCCTTCCGTTCCCGTGGGCTCCAGGCATCAGACTCAGACCAGCTTGCACACTAAGCACTTCCACCTCCTGAGCCATCATCTCACTCGCCCTACGTTTATTTTTAAATGTTAAAGGTAAACCTCCTTTAGCGTTACAACAAATTACAAATTATACGTACGTTATCCTAGAATTAGTGTGGATGAACGACTCCCTCTTGTGTAGAAACTGACACTGAGATTTTTGTAACTTTTTTTTTTTTTTTTT